ACGCTGACGCAGGCACAAAGGGGATATGACGCCATCGACAGGCGACCGGTGAAACGCAGCGTTACCTGAATAAAATGACAGATTTCTCTGAGTTTGAACATTGTTGGGAACATTTGGGATAATGTAAGAACTCAACTACATATAAAACACAGAGTTTATACACTGTTTAATGAGGAGATGTTACAGATTACAGCTTTAAATATCTGCTGCAGCAGGTAAGCTTTATCAAACCTCCACGTACTGACCCTGGAATGTATGCGTCTGTAAACAGAGCAATGTCCAATCAGTAAAACAAACATCCAAAGCAGACAAAGTGTCTGTGGAATGAGGGGAATGTATTCTCTGCACTCACCTACCTACCGTACAGTATAAAAGGGCAGCTGAACCCGCCTCGGCCCCCAGGAGTCTTTGCAGGAGTCGTGTTGTTATTGAGAACTGCTGCAAAACCGGACACGTGACGAGAGGCGAGGCAGAATTCCTTCTGAACAAAACCATCTGTGGCAGCTCTGCCGACCGAGGACTCGCCCTTCCAGATCTAATGATGTTCTCTCAAACAAGATCGCAGATAATGTGACAGACATTCAGAGCTTTTAGGGCTCTAGTTTCAAAAACTGCTGCCTGTTGCATCAATTTATCAATAATAATATAAATAATACCAACATAAACAAGTAATCTGTTCTTTCCAGAACCAGTGCAATTCTTCTTGTCCTCTGTGTCCTTCTGTTGGTGTTTTTTCATCTGCATTTCACTCCTTCCACCATCTCCCATTAAAATAAAGTCTGACCTCTGCTGTAAGAAGAGCATCCTCTTTCTGTTGGGGGTTGTTCAGTTCATTCTAAGGTAACAAATTAATATTATATTCTGTTTCTGCTAATAGATCCTCCTAAATGTTACATACTGGACCTTTAAAAATAAAGTTATATATCGGAGAACATATCCTAAATATTCTGTGATATTCAGAGCAGATTGTAACTTCTTTTTGTACGTTTGTACTTTCTACTTTTGTTGCAAGTGCTGCTAGAAATAATGTTGAAATATCTTTGACCTTCTGTCATAGACAAACCCTGAAGTTTGACAGGTGATATATTATATGAATGAACTTGTAGAGCGAGTTTGCAATGACCTGCACAGAAACAATGCAGATAAATATTACGGTATGTGCACTCTGAACTGTCTGTTATATATAAAGGTGTGACCAGAGAAAATCAAATATTTGTATTTTAACAGAATTACTCAGTTTTTATGTGATTTGTGTGTTTGTGTGTGTGTGTGTGCTGCCTCTGCACATGGCTACATGTTATTACAGGCCTGTGAATAGTTGAAGAGACAGCACACGAATGTGGAATGTTTTGGTAGGTGTTCTCACCCTGGGTGGATCTGTGCTCCAGTCTCTGTGGAGAGGAACACAGTCTCCCAAATCAGCTCGACCAAAACACACAAACATCTGATTCCACACAGCAGAGTGATGGTACAAAGGTTGCATCATTAGTCAGTTACATTAATGGTTTAATGTCAGTCTTTAGTTTCTTTAATTGGTGCACAAACGTGGAATCAACACGTGTTGTGTGTTTGTATAACCTGAGCGAGTTTCTAAATGTGGAGTCTGGAAAGTGTTGGTCAATTACTGTGGCATGCAGTGGTTTTAATCTGAGTTTGACTAATCAGATTACTGGAACTGCAGTCACCTCGCAGCCATTTACCGGGTCTGGACCGGTGTGTGAGCCAAGAACTGGAGCTGGAGGGTAAATCCAACCTGAAGTCAGCTGAGCCTCCTGGTGCAATATGCTGCTGTAAAACCTTCGACCTGTGCTGAGAATACATCACTGATGTGTTGTTGAATCGATGCAAACTGCAGGTCATAGTTGATGTATCATTATATATTCCCAAATGAAAAGACATCATGTTGATCAAAATATAATCTGAAAAAAGTTTGTTTTAAGTTAAAGTAAAAGAACATTTTAAGAGGTTTCTCTGGATTAGGGTGTTTGCGTAAATAAAACATTACAAAGAGTCGTATTTAACCTGTACGCGTGCACAGCTGAGCTTCCCGCCAGCTTGTTAAATGCTAACATAGAAACGAGGCTGCTAATGTTAAAGTTGTGGTTTGACTTTGATTAATCCAATAATCGCTAACTCTATAAAATGTCATAAAATAGTTAAAAGACATTTTCCCATAGTCCAAAGTGTCTTCAAATTACTTGTTTTGTCCGAGCAACAGTCCAAAACCCCAAAATATGACATTTACAATCATATGAAACTGATAAAAGCAGCAGATCCTCATTTTTTACATTTTCCGTCAACTGATTAATCCACTGATGTTAGTTGTTAGTTGATGTTAGCCTACAGCTGAGGCTGATGGGAATGTCAGACTTTAGGATGTTTTTTAAGATGGTGCTAAAGTACTGAGGGGGAACATGGATATCCCACTGGGGTCAAGGGTCCAGAGTGTTTTCATCACCTTAGTGTTGGATCCATGAATTAATAATATTTGTTGTATTGTGTGATTGCAGTGACGCTGATATAGAGCACCTGTTCACCTGTGTGTCATTACTTTAATTATGAGCTCATACACGTTATATTAGGTTGAGTGTTTTTACAGATCTCATCTTAACTTTTTTCTCAGTGTCACAAAGAACTCGGCCTGAACTCGGCCTCTCAGCGGGTTTTTAGAAGTCGCTCCACCTGAGAATGAGCCTCTTCCACAGAGCCACTAAATCCTACATACTGGTCCTTTAAACCTAACAAATTTAGCACCTTAACATAATGGCTAGGTACAAAGAATGTACTTACAGCTGTTCCTGACTGTACATATTCAAATGATGATCTATTAAAGGTTCAGTGTGAAACATTTAGGAGGATCTATTGGCAGAAATGGAATTTAATATTCATAGGTATGTTTTTATTACTGTATAATCACTTGAAAATAGGAAGATTGTGTTTTTGTTACCTTAGAATGAGCTGTTTATACCGACAGAGAGAAGGTGGGATCGATGGACTGACAACAACACGAAGGAAACAAGAGTACAACATAACAGAAGTGAACTCTGGTTGCTTCAGTTTTGCAGAGAAAGGAAACATTCTGACTATATTTCACAAGAATTACCAACAAAAATCCAGAATTGCCGACTTCAGTGTTTAATGCGAAGCCTTTTCAGCTGGTACCCGCCGCCTGGCTCGGATGTGGCAATCTGTTCCCATCATCCCTCCCTGTGGAGAGAGTGATGTGCACCTTGGATTTGCTCTCTCAATCAAGATTATGTTAATCTGCTCTAATCTCCTAACAGACGCTCGGACAGGCAGCACAAGACCAGAGCAAGTGGGGCACGCTGCACAACTGTCTGTGCCTTTAAACAGAGAAAATACGGGTTTTCTGACTCCTTTCATCGTTGTATAAAAAGACAAAACACTTAAGACTCTGTGATTAGCTGGTCACGTGACCCAGATGCAGCCTATTTATTAGACCTGTGAGTTGTAGTGTTGAATTTACAGATCAAAACTGAAGAAACTTACAGGACGAAAGGCTTCCCGTAAATAAAGTTCACATGTAATTCCAGTGTTCCGGTGTTCATTTAAATTTTTTTAAACTAGATTGACGCCTGAACCGTACCAGCTCCTGACTGTTTTGTTGGAGTGCGATGGGGAGTTTAGTTTTACTGGTTATAGCACAATATAGCAAACCTTTAAGTCATGTAACCTGAGTTTTATTAAGCATCTGTTGGTGGCTTCACTGTGAAACTGAATTCTCGTTTCTTTGTTTCACTGCCAGAATTTGTCACCAAAATTCACAAAGCTTGTGAAAACGAACCACCAGAAACCTCCTGAACATGTGGCAGAAATGATTGTTGCATGACCCATTTCTCGGTCTCCACTGGGAGGTTTGTGAGTTTTTAAATAGTCTCGGAGTATGAAAATATAACAGTGTTATCATCATGCAGTATTCATCTGAACCTTCCAGCGCGTCGAGCTGCTACTTCAAAGCCGCAACATCCTGCTGGCAGTAATATCCAATTAAAAAGCCGGAACTGTACGACGGGTGGGGCAGGCGATGCTCGGAGACCGAAATGCAGGATTGTGCGTTAAAGGGCAGGTCAGGAGTGAG